TCATTTTTGAGATTCTGCATGTCTACCTTCCATCGCCTAAAATGCAAATTCTAATCGAAGACATGAATAATGATTTGTCTGACGTAAGATGGCAGGTGCCATAACATTCACTGTATTTGTATTGACAACAGTGCCATGACTACTCCACCTGCAAGAGGACTGCAACAGACACCGGGAACAGGGGGAGAAAGAGACCTCGATGATCTCCAGTTTGAAAGAAAGTAATACTTCATCAAAATAAGAGTAAGTTTTTAAGATCTAGAAACGCCTCTTCTTTTTAGTCAAAAAAACTCAGAACAATAATGACAGAACATTCGAAGCGACGACGAAATTCAACGTTAGAGACAAAAAGAGGGCTAAAGTGGCTATTCTCTTAACGCAGAAACTTCTGGCGTCCACGTTGAGCGGATGCAGTTATGTTCAGGGGATCAAGCGATCTCCACAGACAAAATTTCCCCCTTAGTTAACATCGCGCTCGCTATAACCCTAGGGCCCAAAATATTGAGCAAGTGAACCAATGTTCGCATCGCATATTGCGTTTCGTCGAATGCGTTGAAATATAGAAAGAATTATTTTCAGTCGTATGCAGCATTACAGCATCATGATGCCAGATTGGAATGTGCACCAACTAGAAATAAGATACCCGCACAAAAATGGTTGTTCGTTATTTACGTACGGGGACAAACTCGAGCGTAATATGGATGATTCCCTGAGCTTCATTGCATCCGAACTTTTTCTTGGTAAGAAGCTCCTCTTTTCAATTTGATTGACGACGTTTCGGGCCTAAGCCTTTCTTCAGGTCGCTGAATTACAACAACAAACAATATCTTACACCCGCACAATGGTAACAGCATCGGCAGTAATCACAAAGACAGCATCAAGCTACAGTCAATTGCCTGGGAGGAGGAGGAGAGCGGTCAAGCATCACGTCGTGTAAAATTGGTGGGGTGGGGGTGGTGGTACGACCCTCCCCTAGAAAGGGCTGGTCCGTATGACTTCCCCCACCCCCTCCTTTGTGCTGTGGAGACTCCACAGCACAAAGGAGGGGGGAGGGGGGTGTGGAGGAACATATCTGCTGTGTTCATCAGGCTGCAGAAAACTGAGATTAGTTCCTGAGAAGTATAATGCACGAAGCGGGACTCCTAAAAACCTCGAAATTACCCCGCCTGAATGAAATAACATAAAGCCGAGACATTGCGCACATAGTTTCACATAGCATCTTTTAAAAAAGGTCAGCTTCATTCAGAAACTATCGTTCGCAGAGTTGGAAAGACGATTCAAGTTGGCTTTGTTATGACATAACGTACAGCGAGTGCTACGTGCCTTTGGAAACCAGAAGTGGTTTTCTTTCGAATGAGCACAACAACTTTGTTGCAGCTTAACTATAGCGAAAATTCGCCCGTCGCGAAAAATCACAAAAATTACACGGATTTCCGCGAACGCAAGTTCTTTACATTTCGAAGGCCATAATAAGTTATAACCAAGAACAGAGCCTGAAGGTTCGGCGCTGGGAACCAGAAGGCTTTTTCTTTCTAAGAAGCACCAAATCTGTGCTGTAGCTTGAGTATAACGAAAATTTGTCCGTCGCAGATTTCCATTTGAAAGTCAGCTTCAGCTGCAGCATAAGGATGCCCCCCTCTGGAAAGCGCATATTTCCACCTAAAAAGCTCGATCGGTCTCCCATGCAGCTCCTTACCATGTAGTGAACAAGAACTGCAGCACAAAGAAGCTGATCAACACCTCTATGGAATGCGCCATGTGCTAGTTCATTTCCGAACGCATCACCCATCCTGCAAGCTACTGTGCTGAGTACTGATCTCTGCAAATACAACCCCTCCTCCCGAAAGGAGCGCAATATGACTCTTCCGTTGCGGATGCCGTGACGTATGGCTGATTCTGGAGGAGAGTGAGGCTTAACCCTTCTCCCTACTATTAGGCTGGTGTGAGATATTGCTTGTTGTTATAATTTAGTGATCTGAGGAAGGGCTCAGGCCCGAAACCTCGTCAATAAAGTCGAAAAGAAGAGCTGCGCACTTACAAATGCAAGGATGAGTTTTGGATGACAAATGACCAAAAGCTCATCAATTACCGCAAATTCAAGGTTCTTAAAACTCCACACACTTCTCACGCTTCATATAGTCAACAAGGCATTGCACTGTGTTGCATTGTGCACCTGCAACCAGGGCACGCCAACACTGTGAGGGTCACAACAGGGGAAGGGGATCGCATCTGACGGTGCAGGAGAGGAGCCGTAAGAAGCACCTGGTTCATCAAAATGGGGGAGAGCAGCGATCCTCAGATGTACCAAGATGTATCATTCAATGATAAAAGAGCATTCATGGTTTTTGTTGTAAAGAACCCCTGAAGAGACTGCTGAGGAGAGAGGATGCAAACTGAGAAGTGGTATCGGGCTGTTAGACTGAAGCTTTTTCAATTACGTGCTGTTTGTGGTTAAGTGACATTGCGTTTTTATGGCGTGAAATAATTCGCTCACGAGGGTCATTCTGTTCCTTTGGAAAAATATTTGAAAATCCGATGGTAAATAGCACTTCTAATGATATTCTTCGAAACACTACTGTTCCGACTACCGTATTCGTCTCTAGAGTTACTGAGTACCCCAAGTACACTGGGGATGCAAACAGCAGAAAGCGACCCTTTTCATAGGCTTTCGCACTGTCAAGAATGCACGCAAAAACGGTGCAGCGTTCAATTGCTAACAAAAGTTGAAACCTGATCTGATAGCTGACGTTGCCAAAACACCGTTTTCTTTCTGAAGATCAATTCTGTGTGAGAATAGAAGCTCTTTTAGCTGCTGCACTCCGCACGGTTCTCTCCTTCCCCACTCTCGTGTTCGCAAGCGTAAGTCTACAGGGGAGCCAAAAAAAGACATTTTTCACCGTGACTTCCAAGGCGAAGTGAGCTACACTCTATCAAATTCTTATTCCACATTTTCAACATCAAATTCAACAACGCATTGCACATTATCACAAAACTCCACCACAGCCTTCTAGGCGAACGCCATCGAGAGATTCTGCCGCGCGACCTGATTCAAGTTCAGCGATGTCTTTGATTTCTCCCCCACTGTAGACCACCTTGCTGAGCTCCGCCCGAACTCGGTAATCGAGGGGTTCAGGTCAGGTGACACACTTGGAAATTCCGTCTTCTTAAGGTACTCAACGTCATTCGATCCCAAGAAGGCGAGTGTTTTTTTTTCAATTCTGTGCCGGCCTTCGATTTCTGATGCCGGCACCCAATCCTGTAGCAGTACGAAGTTTCCAAGAAGGTACGGGCAACGACATGTGGGGAGGATATTCTTCTCGAGTTGTTCGATGTAACGGCCAGCGCTCACTTTCAGTTCGGGAATCACGAAGAAAATATAGGTCTTTCCATATCAGCTTCGTCCGGTCCATACCATCAACCCGCGCCTTGACGACTGTGGTGATCCTAGATAATGTCCTAGACCGTGGCGACGTAGACGGAGCTGCTCGATGTTGGAGGTCATCCAGATCGAGAGTGCTGGTCCCCATGTAGCTGTGTATGAGTGACTCCATACAAGGAGTTTCGCAGCTGGTTGGAGGTGACGTGAATTCTATAGGCCCTCTCCAGTGCGGCTGCGATTGGGGATGGCTTCATATCTTGGTGTGCATGAAGGTGATGGACGAGAGCCTGCTTCTGCTTATCTAGGAATATCTTGGGTATCTTCGGCATGGTACTCGTATCCACGTCTTCTATCTGGGCTACGTATCCTTTACTGATAAGTGCCTCGGGCAAAATGTTTTTTTTTGCCCCTTGCCCTTTATATGTAGTAATGTATGATAGTGATGACCTCTTAAGATAGCTAGTTCTCATCGCAAAGTAGTAAAAGTTAACAATATGAATATCGCTTATAATCCCGCGTCTAAGAAATAGCTCATGTGAACTTTTTGTAGCCACTGCTCTGTGGGGAACGATGCTCAAGGCACCGTACATGGTTCCTGTGCAAATCGAATCGCGGATGGAAGGGGATCCGAGAAAAACTTTCTGATTGCTGACTTCCTTCCTTTTCATGCGACACGGTTCTGATAGTTGTCCGAAGATGCCTACCTTCGTCAGCTCGTCGACAAAATTTTAAGCCTTGAAAAAACAGGTAGTGAAATCGGGTCGCGCTGAGGCCCTCTTCAGGAAAAGAGATGGTCGTGAAGACACCGTCAATGCACTTGTTCAGACGCTTCACCCTGTCTCAAGGTTTCTATGTAGCATTTGACCACCCAGCACAGCATGACAAGGTGTGACATAAATTCCGTGGACAGCAAACAAACAGATCAGTTTGTTCCTAGCATGTTCAGAAGAAAGTTCAAGCCCAAAGACTGAAAAATGCGTAGGAAGCGACAGCTGATGTTGTTTTTTGCACTTTCTGTTTTCAAGCTTCTGTCTGACGGGTTCTAGGATAAAAGAATCCATGCATACTATACAGAACTTTGCGCAGAAAACGATCGACATGACCTTTTTCAGCGTCTGCGTCCGCTTCTAACCATTCCTGCTTCTGCAGCTGCTGCAGCATTTCTCCCTAGCGATCAATAAACATACGGCCTGGTCGAAGACTAGCACGTGCTGGGGCTCCCCCCTGTCATCGGTAGACTGAAGACCCAGTCAATTTGCGTTTTGCAGTTTTCTGCTTTTGAAAGCGATTGTCGAGCATACAGGTGAATTCCAAAGAAGAACTAGAACTATTCCGATAAAATCTACACTCAGCTGTTTTCGACGAGATTCGGTTAGTGCTGTTCGGCGTAGGGGTGGGGGGGGGGGAGTGAGGGGATTCCGCATTTTTCATTTAGTTTCATATGCTAGTTCCTTCTAAATTACACGGCTTACCTTGGTGAGACCTGTAGAGTCTTGCCAAGAGTTAACGACGCTCATGTTATTCCATACTTTACAGGAGTTTACACGTCTCCAAAGGACGTATTAGCAGCGATTGATGAAAACCACCAAAATGTTCCTACCGCGTAACTGCGCCTGCTTTATTAGAATTGGAATACCATCAACTGAAGTGCCCTTAAAAAGAATAAAGTCTATGACTAAAACGCGGCATTCCACAAGCTCTAAATTTTGCTAGCCAGATGCAGTAAATACTGCAAAAATGATATTTTTAGGGCAGAGTACCGTCATGACATAAAAAGTAAACCAGTTGAGAGTAATTAATAGCAGGTAAATAAGCGATGCTGAATCATATAAAGATCTCCTTATTGAAAAAGGTAAAGAAGAGAAAATCTAAGCAGGGACAAGTTGTAAAAAGACACTTCTTAGACACTCATTATTCAATGTTTTGTGTCACACAGGATAACAAAGTAAAGTTTTCATGAGATTTCCCTTATAAGTAGTTGTAAGCACCCCACAATTGCTTCTACTGTCGCGAAAGAACGAAGACTTTCATCATCCGATGAATTCAAAAAGTTCTACATATTTGCCTCAGCCCGGGTCTGCTGCAAATTTCTAGGATTTGGGGTGCGCATTTCGGGAGACAATTGAAGTGATGAAGAAATGCACCACTCGTCAAGTTTTATGGGCATTTGCTATGGCATGTTTTTCGAGACTCGACTCTTCACCGTCAAAAGCGCCGAGGTCCCAAGCTCGCTGGTCCTTCTTATTCTAGAGGCACCTGGACTGGGATTTGTCCAAGGTAAATGTCTAGAGCATTCCATTTGCCCCTTCCCAAGCTTTTATCAGACGCGAGGCTTTTTGTCTCATCTAGTCAGCTGCCGCTGCATCACTTGATGGTGAGCATTTACTGATCCACTCAATGGGAAAATTCGGCGCAGTTCGGCCACGGGTTGAGAGGGGCGGTAGGGGGAGGCAGGGGTCGTTTTGCCCATCTACTACTTCCCATCGACATGCCGAGCCGTTCAGTGGAGACCTGTACACTCTGGTAAAGCAATTAAATACCATAGTAATACCATTTACCATGGTGGGTGCACGAGCTTGCCCCAGCTTCAAAAAAAATCACAGGTTTCACCGGAGTAAGACTGGTAAATCGAAGCTAGTGATGCAGCGAAAGTGCAAAATGCCTCCCCCGAAGCGCGCCTAAACTCGTATAATTGAAAGCTTTTTTTCTGTACCAGTAGTTCTCACCTTTGTCAATCGGGACCTGCTTTTTGCGAGAAAGCTCCATAAATTACGATCCGCTCTGAACCGAATGATCCCGTAATACACCAGAACCCAGACAAGCTCATGATGATATTGGTACTTTCGAAGACCGTTACAGAACAAAAGATGTTGAATGTGGCGTCACTGACACATTTCTAACTGTTGGATGAAAGCACATACACACATGTGGCGTGAATGCTACTGGACACTTCAAATTCGTGGATAAACTGATGTGAGACTAGCACCTTACCATCAGCGAAAAGTAGTCTGTGAGAGCCATAATATTCGAACTGTACTAAAACTAGTATTACTGCCTTTGCTAATATACATCTATCTTGAACGGGCACCTTCAAGCTTAAAAGAAGCCGCCTAAATACAAATATATCATCCTGGTCAAATACTAGAGGAATACATGTTTCGCGTTTATCGCGTAACAGCATTCTAACGTTAGAAGCAATTCCATTTGTACTAAAGAGAAAAACTAGTCATTACACCACCTTCGCTGAGAATCCCCGGTTCCCGCGCGCGCGATCCGGTAGTAAACCAAGTTCTTCCTTCAGGAAACGGCAAACTGGTACCAGATATGTCTGGAAGAAGAAAAGAACAACGAATTGTACATCGGCTGGCCCACGTAAGTCATTGTATAGGTCATATCGCATTCAATAAGTCACTACGACCCTGAATCTAACTGGAGTACGTGCCACATTCCGAAAAAGGATTGATCATGCTCCTTTTTATCGTTTATATTCGCGTTCATCCCACGTTCTCTGTCCACGCAAGAGACTGCCACAAAATGGACCTATTCTGAAAGTAATCTCCTCCCTTAGGCTTGAAGTCATGTGAATAGTTATTTTCGGAAGGCAACTCACAATACTCACAAAACTTTACCAGCTCCCGGATTACGTAACCAGTTTACGACATGTTATGATGGGTGCTGATGGCTCAATTCATAACCGTACACACAGCTGAGGAATGTAGCTGCTAACCCTCTTGTATTGCCGGCTTTTTTGAAAGTGGCTTGTTTGCCTTCGAAACATCTCTTTTCACAGGCGAATTTCACCGGCTGAAAAATTAAAAGCGAAAGAGGGACGTCATCCACTGACTGACAGATGATACTGATTGTTATCCCTGCAGCCGCCTGTTGTCCACAAAAAGCATGTCACTCATACCAATGCGCCGTGCACTACGGAATCTTCAATGAGAGGGGAGGGGTCATATCAGGGGAAGATATTTATTTATTCATTTATTTATGCGTACAATGACGTTCTTTTCCTTCCATTCCTCTATGCTATGACATGCCCTGACTACAACTGTTGACCAAGCCATCATATCGCAGAAACAATATCTCTGATGTGACGTTCACACTGTGCGAAATATCTAAGGGCTCTACAAATGGCGGCAAAAGGGATACAATAATTGAAGTCGCAACAGCACATGTTTGATTCCGAAACGACAGGTAAATAAAGAACGGAGATCTCCTGATCAAATGGCCTCGCGAATTAGAGCAAACACGATTTGTTACACTGCAATAACACCCATGAATGGCCGAGTACTCCGCATGAAGTTAATGATTACGCAAAACGTGTGGTCAGCTAACTAGTTCACAAGAAAAACGATCAATACACACTTCACAGTTTTATTAGCATGCTGTCTGACGCCGCAGTACACTTCGAAAGATACCCTACCAGCGTAAGAGGCGGTCCAGGTAGCACGGTCCAGGTTTTAGTGAAGCGTTGGTTTAACCCGCGTGGAGTAAAGACTTTTGCCAACACCTCCACATTCAATAACATTTAACTGAGTTATGCGCTGCATCAAATCGGTTGGAGCGGCACATGAGGAAGTGCCAAACTTCCACTTAAGAACTTTTTGGAGGGGGTTGCCAGACAGACATTAGCTTTAAATAGAAATAGAGGAGCGCACGCTCATCATTTTGTTCCTCTAATGGTGTCCATTCCAGCGGTTCCTAACTTTCTACGATTCATCGTTTTCAAAAACACCCTTCCTGTTCGCAGAACTGGATCACTTCGCCATTATACGGACTGACTTGAAAACACTGCAAATAGCAATCATTGAAGTTGCCAGGAGACGGGAAATAAAATTGAAATGACGCTCTTCATTTCCTTTCTATTGATCATGTTTTTCCAAAAGGAGAGCGGCACTTCCTGCGAATAATCTTCCATAATAATCCCATGAGTAAGAGACGCAGAGTGGGGCAATTTTTCATAATTATGTCATTAGCGCATAGCAGGATAGGGTCGTTATGGCATAAAAATCGACAATTCGGCCTGTATGTTGCAGCACAATTACTTATTTCCTCTACCTTCTCTCTGCTTTGATTCTCTTGCTTATGTTTCCAACATTCTCAATCTATTACGTTGGAACAAAGTCCTGCAATAGTTGGAAGTAATCCTTAATCGGATACTTCTTCAACGATTGAGAACTTCAATCAACGAATCAACTAGTGAGTTATCGTGGGTACCGGGAACAAGTGTTCATCTGTTCAGCAGGCCTCTCTTAGAACTCTGGCGACTATGACGAAAAGAAGATCTCGTTCTTGCGTTGACTTCAACTATCAATTTTCTTATTTTCTATATTATTGCCGTAAATAAAATGGTAGTCAGAAGCTACAAAGCTGATGAGTAAGCTGAGTATGGTCACAATTAACAACCGATATCCAGGACTTTTTTTAGATGCTATCCTCCCCACATGCGGGCTGCTATCGTAGAGCAGGAAGGTACTGGGCCTTTTTGAGCAAAGTTCACATGCGGAGACGGCCATTTTTTGATCAATTTTTTAATTATAGACACGAGTCGACATAGTGTACTGGTATCTAGGGGCGCTCCTTACCAACCCAACAAGCAGCACATTTGAGACCTTTTCTAGCACATCTTCTTTCGCCACTGCCGACGGCTTTTTTCCTTGAGAGACCCAGTCCAGATTATGTGCACGGTTTACGCTGGCCAACCGAGTTCATCAGTACTCACAAGCCGCGAAATTCTTTAAGTGCAGAGTGAAGAAAAATCCAAACCAACATCACTCGGGGACTAGCGCTTCTTATGGGATATCCACCGTGAATATAACTTATGATAACCAAGACTGTATAATGTGGAATGAACGCAGTCCAAACCAGGGTTAAGTGGCTCTACGTCTGGGGCTGTGAACAAGGTAATTCTTTAAACTGTACTGTACAAGACTTTTTTCTCCCAATATTTCCTCGTTTTTTTTCTGATGTTTTAATCACTTTTTAACGACAACTGAGACTTAAACCTTGTCTTCAAACCATATGTGTCTTTTGGAACGTGACATTCAATAGGGGTAACACTGCTGGGAGAATCGCATCATATTGTGTCGTTCAGGTCGCTGGGGGGAGGGCAGTATTCGGCTTCGGGTTTTCATAGGAGTATTTCCGAGCGCAACAGAAGTTTTCTCTGGTGATTTGTTGTTGAGTTCCCGATTAACCCCGTGCCCCACTCTACCAACAACTCGGCGGCATTTTTATAAGGTAAATATGGAAAACTTCCCGGTGTTTTTTGGCAGAGCTGAAAAAACTGGAAAATCTGGAAAAGTGGTAAAAAGCTGGGAAAAATTAGGAAGATGGTACGTAGCATGACGGTCGTACCTCGAAAGGGGTGATACTGACACTTTATTGCACGTATCACTAAGCCATACTCTGCATTTAGGGTTTGTGCCGTGGTGATTATTATACATTCGAAGCTACAAAGAACTGAGACCATTGACAGACTGCCCTTGCAAAGGGATGCACCAATAACTAAGCATCACAATCCATGCATTGTGCTGGTGGTTAAGATACAAAACCAGGAAAAGATCCGCATAGTGGTACAGCAGATCCCACCATCCCTCTACGGGACCGTTGATATTAACTCATTTGAACGTCTCACTTTCTTGAGAAAGTGCAATCGAAGCGGAATTTCAGACTGTTGCGGGTCCTCAGCCTCCTTGAATGTGCCTCGGGAGAATCCTGCTCCAATATGGTAAAGCAGGGGGTGGAGTGCACAGTAAAATATAAGAAAAAAATACTCATGCTTGACAATACCAAATAGGAAGCCCGAACAGTTACGGAATACCAGGGGTAAATCTTCAAATAATTATGCTAATCGAACTGGAAGGAAAATAATAACTGTGACTGAGATGGCGGATGGTCCAGCACGCTTGGCCATCGTCTGGCCACAAGTGGACTGCCCGGAATTCTTTGCGACAGCCAGCTGATGTCTAATATCCAAGGGCAACCGAGACAATTATGAGCGCAAGTCCACTAAACACTGAGGGCATTTATAGCCCTTGTGCAAAACTGGGACTGTAATGGAGATCAAGGATGTTGTCGGACCTTTCGGGGAACGAACTCTGGGGCGCGAACCAATGTCTTTTAGCGAAAAGGGGTGTTTTGCAGAGTTCTTCCGGAACCCCCTACTTTAAGACTCGCCCCAATCACAGAATATGAAAGAAGCACCAAAAATGAGGTGGGTAGTGATAACTGCGTATCCAACAAGTCAACTGGATAAAAGAATGACGTGGAGAAGCTATCACAAACCAAGGAAGGAAACGATTGCACATAAAAGCTTTCAAGAGTGCTACGCAAACAATGCGCTCCGATTCCGATCGCTACAGAAAAGATGCTATGAGATGAGAAAAGGTTTTCAGAAGGAGCGGAAAAAAAAACTCTTTAGTGAGACCTTTGCAAACACCGTTTTCCGCGAACGAGAGAAAAAATTTGAAGGAGAACCGTAATCAACGGAAAGTGCATCGCGATTGAACACATTAAAAAACGAAGTGTTTATGGAAATCTTCCTAGGAGAACGAAAGGGAAGTGCTTTGTTGGGCAGTAAAACGGATCTGATGAATAGACGGATGAAAACGAGTTACGACAAATTGAACATCAAATACCCCCCTCTCAACATCAAGTCGGAATGAACAAAAAAAAACACCAAAAATGGATTTGGATCCAGAAAAAGAGTTCTTGAAGATGGAAAATAGTCGTAAATGTGGTGAAGTTTGAGCGACAACCTTACGATAAACATCAGTAGGGGTCGAAAGGTCAAGAGTGGCATTGTTTTGCACTCGAGCAGGCAGCATAGACAGTTATTAATCTATTGGAACAGAGAGGAAATAAGCAATGAAACGGCAAAAGAAAGCAACTTACAAGGGCTTCGCCAGTTAGAACTTCAATAAGATGACATAAGAGTACACCATCTTTGATGTCTTCGAATAGGTCATTAACCCGTCCGGACGAGCTGTGCTAAACAATGTGTCATTACTAGACCTTATCAGTAAATTTTGTACAAAAGAAATTAGTGTACCTCTTCTAAGTGAAGGTTTATCCATCTCGTAAACGTGTTCTTTTGGGCTCGCTCGTCTTCGTCTGAAACCAAAAGTTTCTTTTTCACATTAATTTGGAATCCTCTAGGGTCATAATTTTTCAAAATAGCAATTCTATAGTTATAGTTATAGCACAATCTCTTTGCACTTCTTTCAGCGAAGCACAAAGCGAGGGGTATTCAATGGAGTTTGCTGGATGTAAAAGTGGATATTTTCCCCCGAATAATGCATATAAATACTAAACCATACTTCTATTCAAATTGAAGCATACACAACATGGGCTACGGGCCGTTGGAGAGCGAGACATGCCAGCGACTGCGCCTCTTCGTCTCTGCACAAACCACATAAGGCCAGAAACAGAACGACAGAGCAACACACTCAGCAGCAGAATAACAGAGCACCAACGAGGGACCACACATATGTAGAGAGAAAGAATCCCCAGCCAGAGAACTGGTTGCGAAGGGGCCGACAGCACGTAGAGAGCTCAAGAGTAGGGTATTCACAATAGATAGATGGATGGGGCAATGAAATGTTCTCGTACTGTGAAAGAACACAACCCAGTTCACTTTTTGTTACATCTTGAGATAAAACAAGGTTATTAGGTTAGAACAGAACAAGTTGGTAGCTCATTCACACTAAAGTTTCTGACCCAAATGTCATTATTTATGTCTGCTTGATGTAAAAAGTTCGATGAAACCAGCTAATAAAACAAACACAACCGGCTATGGCGCAGTAGAAAGAAAAAACAAGTTGTCGTTAAAGATAGTTACACAATAAGGCCTGATACTAGTTAATAAAAGGCACAGTAAATCTAACCGAAAGGAACACAAGGTAGGCAAAAAAAGTTCTGAGCCCAGAGGACGTCATGCTGCTGGGGAAAAATTGCGCACAATACGACCCCTCCCCAAATTTAGTCCTCTGCCAGGACCCTCCACTTTCCATTCTACTTACTATCTTGGTAACCTTTCCCAGCTTGTTGCCACCACATTTTCCGAAATTCCCCGAATTATCCTCAAAATCTTCCTCCAAAATCGGAGTTTCTCTCCATTTCGCCGTCGATGGGAGAAGGGGTGTGTAGCACATGCCAAACGGAAAAACCTCGAGAAGCCAAAAATTCCTTGACGCATTGGAAGTATCCCAACTATGTGCACAGCGCCATTAAAACAGGAAAAAAACTAACAATAAAAAAACTGATTAAATATGATCTCCCTGCGGCCAACTAATCCCCTCCCCGCTGGAATTCTCACTGTACGAAGTGTGGAACCAAAAAAAATTCGACAGAAGGTTATCAAGTGATCAGGTCATAGAAGTTAGATTATATCTATGAACCTTATCACGCTGTGTTCGACACTTCTCAAAAAAAAAGACACAAATCAGTCAGTGGGCTAAAGGGGTAAATGTTCTTCATCTATGTAGAAACGATTGTTCTGTGATCGTTTCTGGGACGGGAACAACCACCACAGAAGAATTCAAGCGTGAAGTAAAATGCAATACTGTATGCTGCTGATTCAAACCTTATTCGATACGCATTAGCTATGAAACAGTCTCTGCGGGTTTGTAACGCTGAACGTCTTCTTGTATTGCAAAAAGGAAAGCTCTGCTCGTGGTTGCTAACGAATCCTACACTTGTGATGTTTGTCTATGACACAAGGAAAGTTCATTTTATTTAATCAAAAAATAAAAGCCTCTGCCCAGGACCACTGGATCAAGTCCGCAAGCCCAAGACGTTCAGCAACGTGACAAATTCACCAAGAAAATTTTCAGATAAAGCGCGTCAAATAAGGTGCGAGCTTGTAGCCGCGTGCGGTGTTGCCTGTTGTTTTACGCCTAAATACTTCTGTGAGCAGATTGTTCCCGACTGAATACTAATTTCTGTTCCATATATTGGTCTGCCATGGCAATCATGCTCGGTCATGCGGCAGCCAGATGGCTTTCACCTTTTTTTTGTCCTTTTCCTAACCTTGTACCACGGATATCCTTCTTTTGCTAACAATAACCTGTGAAAAGAAGAACATTGAAGGACGATGCAGGAAAAGAAGAAAGGGGGAAGAATGTCGGGAGAGGTGTGAATGACGAGCTTGGAACGACCCCTTTATATACACCAATTCAGAAACATAAAAAAACTGTGCAATAATCAAAAAGTTGGAGAAAATTAGGGTCACGAAATTCACAACACTCAGTGAGTGTCAATGCAAAGTGATCAAGTAATGGGAATGCCACATACCATGACTGCTGAATCGAAGACCAAAAAGGGGCATGATAGGCCCAGCAGAGGAATTCGTTCGACTTCACGTTTGTTCGCTACAACTGAATCAATTACAAGAGTACTGGTCGATCTATCTAAATAACACACAACGGTGAGAGGTAAGCGAAAGAAGCAAAATGAACTCAAACGAGATTACGAGCATGGCGGCAGCTGGCTGATAACAGCGTAGAAGGTGAATCGTCACAAAGCAGAAGCTCAACATCATTCAGACAAACAGGAACTAATGAGTGTATTGGAAATGAGGCATACTTCAGTGAGGTGAGACATTCTGGTGCAATACTTCGTGAGGACTACGGTAATCCTAACTTTTAAAACTCTTGTAAATTACGAGCTTCCTTACCCCATAATTTTTCCGGCTTTCTCATGCGGAACGGCTGAAGGGTGCGAAGAAACAACACACGGGATTTGGAGGTGTTCCAGGTCTGGGCGAAAGGAGAGTAAGGTAGTTCCTTCGGACGAGAGTGGACCACATTACATGAGGAGTGGTCCATTCACAGCGAACCTCTCAATCTTAGAGGGTTGGGCCTACTTTCCCTGAACTTCAAAAGGAAATGCCTACGATGGCTTAGAGTGCTCTAAGCCAAATCCCCAGACTTTAAAAGAATAACGAAAAAAAATTGTAATGACTACTGTTTGCAATCGTTGTGAGTTCTCAAATTAAGGGAAATAAATGACGAGAGAAGAATGAAAAGAATTCATTTCTCAAACACCCCCGGTTGCAACGACAGATGAAAATCTTGAATGCCGTCGGAAAAAATAAAACAAATGTCGTGGTGGAATGAAAAGCGCCGTGCAAACCACTGATGCCTCCAACAATAGCACGCAACTACAGTTTCTATCCCACAACTATCGTGGCGACATCTAAAAACGATATTGGCGTCACCATAATGGGAAGAAACCGGTTTTCACGTTGCGAAAAAAGAAAAACTCTCAAGCTCTTACTCTATTTCTGCAGAACAGAACTAATAATGTACACAAATATGAACACAATATGGATTGATGAATCACTTGATTAATGTAAGGGACATCAGAAGGGCCGTTTCTTTACGCGCTTCTCCTAAATGTAACCACAGTTCGATGAACATACCAAATAGGCGCCATGCAATAGAATGGTTGAGGCGTTAGTCATAATTTGCTTTGCCTCTCTCATCCTCTGAAAAAGGCGATCTCGCCGAATCTTAGGCCAGTAAAGCTGAAATATCATAATTGGGTTTAACTAGATGGAAGCAGCCTGCAAGGTGAAGTAAATTCGAGGTTTGGGCAACACGTTTCACCTAAAAAAACTCCTTTTATTGCGAGCGCTGCTCAAATTCGAGCATTTCGGTGCAATAGTTCGTCGGACTACGGTGGTCCCTGCTCTGCACCAGTGGTTTTTCAGAGGTACGAAATGCAAGGAGCTTCGCTCCAACTGGAGAAAAAAGTGGATCGAACCCTTCGGTCTATATATACTTCAAATCTCTCAGATAGGGAAGGCGTTCCAGCGCACTTCATTTGAATGTGGCAATGACTGCCATTACGGGATTTTCTCATTTTGGGACACTTGTAAGTGTGTTTTGTCCTACACGAAACGAGTGACGGTTGTCTCAGATTGAAATGTCCTACGAATACTCATTTCCACGCAAAGTTCAAGTGAAGTATGCAGCCAGCCTACCACGTCTCTGGTGTGGGGAGTGTAAACCACTGCACTTACCCCAATACCATCCCCTAGATCCTTGCCTTGGCTCCAGCAAAAAACATCGGCTTATAGCCAAAGGATCATCATAGGACTGTAAAACACCCGAGAACTAGAGTCCTGTATAGGGAAGTGTAAAATGGCGTCCTCTGTACGTGTCCCTCAGTAGAAATTTAATTTTCCGGTCTCTCCCGCTCTCACGATCTTTACATTCTTTTAACATTTTTTCTCACAAGTTTCCCAATATTCTCCTTCAGAGGGAAGGGGAGGGGCTAAACATACTTTTTATACACGGAGGAAACGTGGCTGTGCACTTCTTTCAGATACCGCGACGACTGCTCTTCTGTAGGGATATCGCCTACTGGGACAACCGTAATCATGCACCTGCCTAGTTTAAAGACAGCTCCCGCGATAAAAGTGCCATGGATAATTACTTTTCTATTATGGAACAGTAGCTGATGAGTAATTCTCCAAAGAAGAAAAAAAGCAAGTACAGTCCTCAAGAACACCACAAACAAAATCGCTATCTGACAGTCACACCGCGGTGCGGTCGCTATACAATCCCTGGCTCGCAAATCCCTTTATCACATCTCCCATAGTGGAATCATCCATCGGAAAGAAAAGAACAACGGAAACACGGGAGAAAAACTCTTGAAAAGGAAAAGAAATTTCTAAAAACTCGGCACAATTTCTAAAAACTCGGCGTCCGAATTTTTTGCTACGGTAGCGTGCATCTTTTAGTGTAGTGTAGTGCGTCGAGGTTTTGCACCACGAAAATGAGGTCGCTCGTGATTTTTAGGCGTTTCACCTTGCGAGATGGGTGGAGTTGACTGTATGTGCTCTTAATGAATAAAATGTAATGAATAAGAGCGGAATCATTCATTGGCACGAGCGCGCTTTCCAATGTCGCTTTAGTAAACAATAAATTGATGTGGTTCTACGGTCGACGTATTAGCCTCATCTCCTCGAAAGGTGGAATAGGTGGTACTTGCATGCAGTTGGCGCGTCCATAACTACGACTTTTCAACCTGGGAATAATTTTTTACCCCAAAACCTAGTTGCAAATTGTGAAATGATCCTCTGAAGCAGAAGAAACATTACTGTGGAAACTAGAG